GATGAGGGTGCATAACGACTCAACTGAGGGTGCAATGCACCCTTATGCACCCCCGTAGAACCGGGCCTGAACTGTAGCCTCAATAAACCTCATGTTGTTCTCTCTGTACGAACCGGCTGGATATGAGCTGACAGCGTCTGACTGGAAGCCATAATTGATGTGTTTTGCCAAAACAAACCAAAACCTTTGATTAATAATCATGACGGTCTGCAGCGAGCAGCAACATGCCAGAGACAGCGTCACATGAATATCTGGAGTCTGAGTCACGCTGCAGGAGAACAGCACCAGGATCAACACCGTTTACATGTAGAGCTCTCAGACCAGCACACTCAGTATGTTGTCGTGAAAAAAAGGGAATTTTAGGACGCGAGATGTCAGTGCGTGTTCTGTATCTGTAGGTGTGATTTAATGCAGCGCTTAATCTTATTCCAGGATGACAGCAAACCTCCACCCACCGCACAAACCTCCCCTCTATTTATAGCCTGCGTGTAAAAGCAGAAGGACTCCAAAAATAAAAAAGAGTGAACTTTTTACCCCAAACAACAATAAGACTGGTTTCTAGACATCAGCATCTCCTGCTCAGCTGCTCCCTCTCGAAACAATTATTCTTCCAACAACTTCAGAGAGAGCGACAAAGTGAAAGTGCTGAACATTTAAAGTGTAATAGGCGACATGTGGCAGTGCCCTTGGTTATTTGGCAGGACAATGCATATCTCTGTGGGGAGTTGAAACTACAGTATAGAGACAAAGCTAACTTTATATCTGAGTCATGTTAGCTTGTTGTTAGCCTCTCAGGCTCTCCTTCATACAGAAAGGAGGTGGACGGCCTCATCTGACTTACCAATGGTTGGTCTTTTTTAAACCTAAATGGAAGTTTAAATCAGTTTAAAAAGAATAAAGATGTTCCTACTGAATATTGCTAGCTAAGTTATGCTAGTATTGCTAGTTATGAAGCTACAAAGACAAGTAATATCAAGAAATGTTTGATAAATATGCTAACTTATGTATGCTTAGTGTTTTTGATATCATTCCTAAAATACTGCGAAAATTACAATACAGCTTTATTGGCAAAAGATGAAGCTACGAACAGCAGATGGCTAAGTTAGCCTAGCGCTAAGACTAGAAATGGGGAAACAGCAGGCTAAAAAGTATTTTCTATTACAAATAGTATATATTTTTTGCTTGAGAATGTAACGTAATGTACATTATGTTTCATAACATCGTTACGATCCAATCCAACACAACCAGGGTTTACACTACATATAAGAACAACGTTATCATTATACCCGAGTCATGTTAGCTTGTTGTTAGCATGGTAATATGTATGTAGCCACATTTGGGAGAAGCAGCGAGCAAACAGTGTTTTCTACTAACAAGTATGTGGGAAAGCATCTAAACAGGGTTAAGTTATGTTCATATAATTCCTAAAATAATAGTATTAAAACTACAATACAAGAACAATTCTTTCACACACAGTGACGTCACGAGCTACCCACAATGCAACGCGCGCCATATATCTATATAGAAATACGCCATTTTCCTGGAGGTGCTAATATCCTGGAGGTGCTAATATAAACAGCTAGCTAACGTAGCCAGGCAGAGCGCACTAGGTTTTTTTTCTGAATTAACGACCGAAGAAATCGCTGCATGTCTTCGGATTACATCTCTGGACTTGAGGGGTGTGCTCTAGATCGTTACCAGCGTAAACTAGAGCTGTGTGGGTTGTTGGATGTACAATGTATGGAATTACGACCCTCAAAAGTGGCCTTCGGTCGATTTTGGCAGCATCTACGTCTATCTTCTGGAAACACCAGGTGAATACCCCACTTGTCACAATAATATTATCATGCCAATGCATATATGTGGTATTTTAGAGTTGACTATATTGATTAAGGCAATAGACTATGATGTTCTGCTTGCACCTCGTGTGAAATGGTGGATACCGGAAGTACGGTGTCGCCCTCGGCCCAAAACCCGTATGTGTGTGTGAAAGAATGCTAACCTTAAACCTGAGTAATGCTAGATGGTTGTTAGCCTCAGTTTGTTAGTTATCATGTATGTGGCCATAAAGTGGATATTTGGGAAAAGCAGCGAGCAAAACATGTTTTTCTATTATAATAACAAGTACTAGGGTGAAAACTGCAATACAGAAACAGCACTAACTTTATACCTGCGTCATGTTAGCATGTTGTTAGCCTCAGGTTGTTAGCATGATATCGTGTTTGTTGCCATAAAGTGCATATTTACAGGGTACGCATTTTATCCAGTATTAATGAGCCAAGAAGAAATACTAAAATGTAATTCCCTACTTGGAAAATTCACATGAACACCACCTAAAGTCAGGACAACACACTGAAAAGTAGGCTATAGTACGAACAATAAGCTAATTTAATAGCATTAGCCTACCCCTAAAACCCCCTAACCTGTTATTTCAAACGCTGTCTGTAGAGATGTGTTTGCGGTGGGACAAATCAGCATTTTATAGACTTTCTGACCATAAACACTTAATTACCCCTCAGCAAAATAAGGGGCTTTTCTGAGTGCTTCCAAGATATAAAAAAGCGTAGAAATGGCATTAGTCATGTTTGGATGACATGAAGCATAGAGGGCCGACTATTTCAACACAGTTCAAAGGGTTTCATCAACTTTGACAAACAAATAGAGGCTAAATGAAAGTCCTTCTCGAAGTGTCGGATGGTGTGGTGGGTAACTTGATTCTAATACATGTGGTTTGGGAAGGGATGCCCTATAAGCAGGGAATGAGTCACTTGGAGAAACAGACACCACATGCTCAGCATACGTGGATGATATCGCATTTGGGATCTTTATGGGATACTACATTCTCTTAATGCCAAGCAAAGACACTCAAGTAAAAAGAAAACTCACTCCTTCTCAGATGTATGACGAACATATCAGGGTGCCATGAACTCTGATAGAACAAACGAAGTGAAATACACTTAGAAATCATCAGATCTTGCCTAAGAATTATCTTCAGTATAAAAGTAATCCTTTATATTCAATATATATCTACTCATATCAGGATATCATCATCTCTTATTTCCAAGAATAAACGCAGTGAAATCCACTCAAAGACGGGTTAGGGTTATGTAAATACACTGGGACCATTGAGAGATGAGTCTAAAGACTGGAACAGAATATTAATGGCAACGTATTTGTAAAGATTTTCCAACAGGTTCGTTTTTTATTATTAATAACATGTGCATACTTTTTTTATTATGCAAGTCTTTACTTTATTTGCACTATGCTTCTGCTGCTGTAATAATGTATACTTCCCCGTTACGGGACAAATAAAGGAATTCTGATTCTGATATCGAAGGAAAAAAGCCATTCAGAACAATAAAACATGTTTGTAAGTTTTCTATAAAAGTAATAAACCAGTGAGATTTCTCTGCACATCCATTGGTTCTCTGTAGACAGGAAGTGCTAACAGCTCATTCGGCGTACGTTCAATGGTGCCAATAATAGGCTGAACAACGATGTCACAGATATTGGATGAGCTTCTTCGGGGTCTTTAACCAGTTGTTTTCCTGAAGTCTAATCCTGCTGACAAACAACTAGAAGGGCACTTGAAGAGCTCTAAAACCAAAGCTTCGTTCACAAATCCTCAGATGTTCCCATTTCCACGAGTCGGAAAGTCTTTCTTCCTACTTGTGTGTGCTCATGAGAAAGATATGTTGTATTGTATTTCTTATAGTGTTTAAACAAGCCCTTCCTAGTTGTTTCCATGAATCAGAGACTTATTTTTCGGAGTATTCTGACACCACATGAATGCACCACAAAGTGAAACATAACTTATCAGGATATTTCCCATCAAATATCTCAATATCGACATGGCAATTATGTCGATAAACATCATCAGTAATGTGGATATTCTGACTAGGCGGGTAAAGGTAAATGATAGAACAGCTTAAACCGTCTAGTGAATCCAGAACATTAGGTTTAATGCAGTCTCTAAAACCAGGAGAAAACAATACCTATCTTCCACGATATCTTCTCTAATATCACCATAATACCGATATATTCCCCAGCCCTATATCTGCCCTCTAATTCAGATCCACCCCAAAATGTTATGAGTCCTTCCTCGTCCAACGCTACACACTTCCACCAAATTTCAGAAAAATTCGGCCAGTAGTTTAACGGTAATCCTGCTGGGGAAAAGAAGCTGTCCGCAAACGTGAACTTCTAAAATGACCAACATACTTAAAATCTACAATATATCTGCCATGTACTTTAAATTCACACAAACATTGGGCTAGTAGACAAACAAACAAATCAACAGACCAATAAAAAACAACAACACAGGACCCCAAAATTGCTTAATCCGTAATTGCGTAAAAGTACCAACGATTCTGGTTAAACGTTGATATCTGAGATAAGAACACTGGGAACCACTATGAGAAGATTCATTTCAACTAAAGCCGTGAACAGCATAATACAGAATAAAGTTATTGTAAAGAACTACCAACATTTAACTGATTACTGTCAAATTACCATAGGCCTATATGTTTTACCTGCCTAAAATGACTCACACACATAAAATCAAACTCTATTTATACGTCAATTGACTTCATGTTAGGTAAATACACTGGGAACCATTGAGAGATGACACTATAGCCTGGAACAGAATATTAATGACAACGTTTTTGTAAAGATTTCCCAATATTTAACAGGTTATTCATAAACCAATGCTACACCTTTCCACAAGTTAAAAACCATTATCCTGCTGCAAACCCGAAAAACATACTCTCACAAAATTACTCGTAAACATACAATCTATGACCAGCATCTTTACGCACAAGGGGGGCAATGCCTTAGTTTCCACGTGCCCCACATTGCTATCCAGCCCTGATGGTGAAAATGCCAACTGGTGTAAGGAGAACAGATAATCCACAGACAAATAAAAAGTGCCGTAACATCTCTAAAACAAACTTCCTTAAACTATAACACCACTTTCACCAGACTCTTATTCGGTATCTTACCAAGAGTTGCTGTAGAAAAGTATATTCCTCACAAAAAGTTTACCGAGTGTTTCCACCAGCCGGGTTAGATCTACCGGTCCGCGGCTCCGCACTTAGCCCGTAAACGCACTCCTTCCCCGGGTAAGAAACCACAGAGTCACCGCTGATGAAACACTCAGAACCGAGAGACTTCTGAATCTGCTGTGAGGAGCAAAGATCCGCAGAGACACTTGAGAGGAGGATTATCCCTTCTGTTTGTTTCCTGTTGTTTGTGGCGTGTCAGACCCGCACGCCCCGCATCACACACACTCCCAGACACACACGCACGCGCGCGCACACACACACACACTTATGACACACACACACTTATGACACACACACACTTATGACACACACACTAAATTGAGGCTTACCTCCTTCAGCTCCGCATGTCCTCCTCCGTGTCTCCGTCCAGCGGTGCTTCAGTTTACTGTCAGAAAGCACCTGAACACACACACACACACACACACACACACACACACGCACACAACATACACACACACCACAAACACGCACGACCACACAGGATATAAGAATAGTGAGAAATTGTCTCTCTTAAATGATAGGAAACACATTTTCTTTTCCAAGTTTATGTCTAATATATGTATTTGTATTCATGTTTTCAACAGGTCTCCAAAGTGCGTTATATTGAGGAAAGGTTCAGCACTGCCTCTCAGTGGAAAATACTGAAAGTGCACCTTAATTCAACTCAACATATCCCTGTTTATTAAATATCATTTTGCACATATAACATAACAAATATATTCTTGAAATAATTTGACGATGTTGATTAATTTTTTGGTTTAAAATATGTCATAAAATAGTCAAATAAAAACGTTTTATACTCCAGGGTGACGTTTAGAACTGCAAATATTCACATTCACACTGAATTGTACTTATTTTATATAAAAATGACTTTAATAATTAACACTTTGTCTAAAATGTGCCAATCAATTACAGCCGATGCCGTCAGAAGTCTGTGTTGGCCCGACCAACAGTCACAACAAATAAATGAACTCAATAATGGTATAATATTTAGAAAAACCCCAAATATTCACTTTAATATATACATTAATAATAGTTGAAGCTGAAGCCATTTTATCCTTACGACATTTTGTCTAACAATTATGAAATTATGAATAATTGAATAACTATGAATTAGGTTTATTGTAGAAAAAACATAAAATATGAACAAATCCTCTGATTTTTTGGGGTATTTTTTGCTTTAAAACTAACTTTATAATAATATTCATTTAAAATGTGAAAAAGTCTAAGTATTGCAGCTCCGATGCCTGTTTGCTGTGTACTTACAGCCTTTCCTTTGAAAGCAGCTGCTGGAAGTGACGCTGCTGACGCCGAACTCAAACAGTTGCGAGTCGTAAAACTAAAACATCAAGCTGAGAGACACGGAAACGCTGAACGGAGATAAAGGAGAACAGCAGGATTGGTGATAAATCTCCCTGAGTTTAGCATTAAAGGCCTCTCAGTGGAGCCATTCAAACACATTCATTATTGCAGCTTAAATGCTCCTTTAATGACTTCATATAAGAACAATTGTACGGGATGTTCCACTTGTAGTATACTGAACTGTACACATACAGTTAAATAACCTTTGATATAACAAGACCTCCTTAATGCCAAAACTATTTCAAAAATGTATTAATTAACCAGTAATGATTATTCTCCGTCATCTAAAACCTACAGTACAAGTGAAATCACGTCTTTTTTAATACAGCCTAAAATCACAAATAACAAACGGTTTAAAATATTAATAATCTGTGACAGCAAACAATCTGAGACCCTCGCTTTAGATTAAAATCCACAATCCCTTATCTCCTTTGTTCACACGATGAGGGCTTTATTGCTCAATTAAAGTGTAAAAAGCATTTAACAGCAATGTTGGTGAACTTGAAAATTAACTATTTTCATTTTGAACGTTAAAACTGAAAGTCGAAGACATTTTCTAAAACTTAGACACGAATCAAGCTAGGTCGAAATATTTAAATTGAATTTGTTTTTTTTGCAGATGTATATATATATTTATTAGGGCCGGGACTTTAACGCGTTAATTAAGATTAATTAATTACACAAACATTAACGCGTTAAAAAAATTAACGCATTTTAATCGCACTTATTTTTGCACCGCGGAACGTTTCTCACTGGATGAGTTTCAGGCGTACCGATTATACTGGAGCACCAACTAACGTTCATGACTTCAGACAACAACAAACCACAGTGAACAACAGTGGGAAATGTTGTTTTAAAAAACGGACGGATGGAAGCGTCGATAAGAGCACGGTTGTGTGCAAATTATGCAAAAAGGAATTCGCATATCACCGCAGCACATCAAGCCTCAAGTATCACCTCAATGCAAAACATATAGCAGCTAGCGTGGACGTTAGCCTCTTTTATCGCGTTCACACCAAAAAGAGCTGGTACTAAAATTAGTTCATGAGAACCTTTTTACCCCCACGAAAGTCCCTGCTAGAGAGCAGAGAGCTGCTAGAGAGCAGGGACTTTCGTACGGCTCTCTTGTGAGAAAAGAGCTATATGTCTGATTGGCTGGGCGGATTGAAAACCACGCCCCGTAAAACTCCCAAAAAGTTTTGTGAAGCCGCCATTTTATTATCCTCGCATTAGCATTAGCCCAGCGCAGAAACGCAGAGAGACTAATTTATGGCAACACAAAATAAAACATGGGAGCGGTGGAGATGAGGAGGTGTCGGCGTTCTGGCAATTTACAGTCCCCAACTCCGGGGACTTCCGGCCGGGGACTTTGGGCGGCAGTATACGCCGTTTGCGGCCTGCCAGTAAACCCAAAGCAGAAGAAGAAGAAGTGACGTCAGCGGCTTCATTTGCCTAATCCACCCTCAGGTTCAAAGAGTTCTCATGAACTAAGTTCTCATGAACCTTTGTGGGAAAAGTACTGCGGTGTGAATGCGCCTAATGGTATACTAAAATCCATGTGAAAAAAATTGCTTCTCACTGTTCTCAGGTCAAATATTTATATGTGATTAAAAATGCGATTAATTTCGATTAATTAATTACAAAGCCTCTAATTAATTAGATTAATTTTTTTAATCGAGTCCCGGCCCTAATATTTATATGTCGGCCGATTAGTAACATATACATCGTAAAAAAATTACACAGTACAACGTCTGTCCACCAGAGAGCGCTGAAGACTTACAATTTAAACAGTAAAATGTACCTTCAAATTAAAAAAAATGCCAGTTTATATTTAAGGTATTTACCCAAAAGCATTCTAAAAGGAAAGAAACACTTAACGGATATATCTTTCATTTTAATATACGTGTCAAAGACTAGCCGGTGAACATAGCAT